ATGCATACTGCACTGTATCCTCACATCTGGATATGATAGTCTCCATTACACAGTTAATACAATGAATTTTGTTTGAAGCTTATTTAGTGCTGCTCCCTGTAAGATCTTAGGGCTTATGGAAGCTGGTGAATAATTATATTGGAAAAATTCTATAAATCTTTCCTTTGGAAGGCTGGGAAGCACAGAGCATCCACCAATGCAGGTGTAGTGTGTCTATCCAGAAGAGCTGTGCTCTCACTCAGAACATGAGGATCCAGGAGCTGAAAGCAGAAAACTGAGGTTCGAAGTGGCTAGGAACACTCCAAAGGTCACACAAACCCAAGACAAATTCAGAGCTCCTAATTGCTATGCATCCATTTATCTGCCAATATTTTCTTTAAGATTTATTTTATTTTTTACCGGAAAGGCAGATTTACAGAGGGAAAAAGAGACAGAAAAAGATCTTCATTCTGCTGGTTCACTCCACAAGTGGCTGCAACAACCGGAGCTGAGCTGATCCAAAGCCAGGAGCCAGGAGCTTCTTCCGGGTCCCCTACACAGATGCAGGATCCCAAAGTTTTGGGCCATGCTCCACTGCTTTCCCAGGCAACAAGCAGGGAGCTATAGCAGCGGTGCAGCCAGGACATGAACCAGCGCCCAAATGGGATCCTGGTGTTTGCAAAGCAAGGATTTAGCCACTAAGCTATCATGCCAGGCCCTATCTGCCACTACTTTAAAACAATGTAATCATGGTTTGTGGGAGAACTAAAAGAACTATGGAAAAAGGGAAAGATGAGGCAGCTCATTCTAATTGGGATAAGCAAAAGTTATAATCTTGACCTTGAATACACAAGTAAAACCATCATCAGGCAGGAGTGAGATGGAGTGAGATTCTAGGAAAGAAAAAACACACTGATGCAAGGGGGTTATATATATTTCTTTTTCTTTTCTTTTCTTTTTCTTTTTTTGAAATGGGGTAGGGGGCAAGTTGATTATCCCGGGATTGGAACACACTTGCAAGGAGCAGCCACCCTAAAGATGACTCCTCAGTCATTAGAGGCAGGGTGGGCCAGAGGCAGCCTTGAAATCAGTGGGGGGGAGAAGGCATGCCCTTTACCCATCCCAGGTGTTCTCACATAACTCTTTCTTGTGTGTTCTTACAGCATCGTGGCCTATAAACAAACCCAGTGGTTACAATATGGAGACATCCAGGAGAAATGAACATGGTAACCCGTGGGAGCCAAAAACACCAGCAATGACTAGATCCCCTCAAAGGTGAAGGAAATGGGGAACTGGTGGCCAAAGCACCACTGTCCAAGAAACCCAAGTTCCAGCTGGAGTTTGCCTCAGAATCCAAGGTCCCTCCTTGGTGGGTGGGAAAAGCATTTTCCTGGTGACAGAACCTTCTCAGCTTTCAGATGTCTCTATTAGGCAAGAGGTTGGGTCCCACACACAGCAGAGTCAAAGTTTACCAGGGCAGTAGGCAGGCTGCACACACAGCCATCACTGGCACCATCAAACTTCTGCCTCCAGCTGCAGCCAACCAGCCCCTTCCTCTCCTTTCATGGGTTGTCCTGAGGGCTCCAAGGTGTGGCTAACAGGGATGGCTGCCTGGGTCCTGTGCCAGAAGTCCTGTGGGAGGTTTCAAACAAAAGCATGCATTCTCAACTGCCTAAGGGAGCAAAAGGAAGGAATGTTTTTGGAAGAGTTACCAACAGTTCTGTATGAACAACAGAATCTTAAAACCTTAGGGGAAATTTTAGCTTTCTATCCTGAGACCTGGTTGGTTACCTGTGTACACTCAGGAAAGTCATAGAGCTCACACCCTTGGCTTCTAGTTAAATGCTGCTGCTATGGTTGCTGTTAGGAAGAAAACAACTGGGGACTTTTTTTCACAGAATATTTAACTGAATACTTAGTAAGACTTGCTGTGGTCAGGGAGGGTGGGTATCAAGGGAGAGCAGATACACTAAGAGCCATTTGAATTTGCACTTACATTTAGGGTCTATTGAACTCAGATTGGTAAAAGCAGGCTCACTTCCCAATAAAACCAATATTCAATGTGTGTGTGTGTGTGTGCAGTTAAGATGTCTGTGTTGCATATCAGGGTTTCTGACTTCAAAATCCCAGCTCTGGCTCCGCACTTTAGCTTCCTGCTAATGCAGACCTTGGGAGGCAGTGGTGATGGTTTGAGTAATTGTGCCAGCTAAATGAGAGTCCTGGACTGAGTTCCTGGCTCTTAGGTTTGGCCTGACTCTCTCTCTCTCTCTCTAATAAATACTTCTTTACAAGCATGAGTGTGGCAATTGTCCTTTCCCAGGTCAGATTCTCTCTATAACTGTAGACATGGCGTTAGACATGGGTAAAACAGAAGTTGGAGAATGCATTTGAATCTTGGGCATCTGGGGTCCGAGAATTATCTGTAATCCTATATCAAGGAGTAAAGAAAACTTTATGGTACACCTCTAAGAGAACTTCAAAAAGCTCAGGGGGAAGTAGAGTTAAAAGATAAATTTTAGGGCTTGTTACAGTAGCCTAGTGGCTAAAGTTCTTGCCTTGCATGTCCTGGGATCCGATGTGGTCACCGGTTCATGTCCCAGCTGCTCTACTTCCCATCCAGCTCCCTGCTTGTGGCCTGGGAAAACAGTGGAGGATGGCCCAAAGCCTTGGGACCCTGCCCACATATGGGAGACACAGAGAAGCCCCTGGCTATGGATTGGCTCAGCTCCAGCCATTGCGGCCACTTGGGGAGTGAACCAACGGATGGAAGATCTTTCTGTCTCTCTTTATCTCTGTAAAATTTGACCTTCCAATAAATAAATAGATAAATCTTTTTAAAAAGTTAAATTTTAGTGCAATAAAAATTGTAATCTATGCATAACCTTCTCATAACATGCATTTCCCATGAACTATTTGGAGTAGATGCCAGCATTCCAATTCAACTCTGCTCCACTTCCTAGTCAGGCCCTGCTAATGTCCTAGGAAAAGCAGAAAGCAGTCCAAGTGTTTGGGCCCCAGATAATCACATGGGAGACCCATATGAAGCTCTTAGCTTCAGACTGGCCCAACCCTGGCTGTTGTGGCCATCTGGGAAATGAATCAGCAAATGGAAATCTCTTTCAAATACACACACACACATACACATATTTAAGCAAATGGATATGGGGAAAGATTTGGGAGCTAGCAATCAACAGGAATTGGTGGTGGGTGAAAAGAATGAGGCAAGATAACTCAGATCTGGAGTTCAGGAAAATGGAAGGAAGGAGCCCTTCACTGAGGAAGGCAGCATAAGCTGTGAGGGAATGCTGGGAAAGGCAGTTCTAGGCCAAACACCCACCAACACACTCATTCCCTTGGACTCCTGGCCTTCCACTTCAGTTCCCTTCCCATTTCACAATCTGAACGAAGTTAATCATTGCCTTTTCCACGTCTACTCTTGAAGAGCTTGTTCTTGACACATAAAGAAACTTCCTTCTTTCTTCCAAATTGGCCCTGCTTATGGTTGTAACCTGAGTAGGGTTCTCCAAGTCCTACTATTGGCTCCTTTTCAACTCTTCCAGTCATCAGAGGGGCAAGCCTTTTGTGCTGTTCCCAGGTAACCCAGTACTCCTTGAATGAGCAGCCAGGTAGGAATTTGTTAGAAATGCAACCTGCAGGGCCTGCCTAAATGAAATTCCGGAGTTGGAGCCCAACAGTTGGTGTTTACATAGGTCCTCAAGTTTAGGAACCACCATTCTATCCTATGGGGCCTGACTTGTTCTCCCTAAGAGCCTAAGTCCTCCTGAAACCCTGAGGCCCTTTTATTGGTTCTCCTTTCAAGGACTATGGTTGACATCCTGGACTCAGGCCTTTTCCAAAAGATCAATTGACATCCCCACTAGATGTCTACAAATAACGTGAACCAAACCCACCTGCTTCCACCTCATTGCTTGCAGCTATTATCACTCTTACCTTACTGTGCTAACGGGTTGGTTAATGACATCACCTCCAGCTCCAAGCTCAAATCTGCTCACCATTTCTAAGCCATTCCCCTCACCACAGAAATCTCAACTTCAGCACCCCAGGTCCATCTCCCTCTGTGCAGCACCTTTTTCCCATGGCTTCTGGAACCTATTCCTACCTACTTTACAGGTCTTCAGTCTGCCCACAATCCTCCAACATCCTACCCTATTCCCATCACATTCCTTAAAAGGAAACAGGGTGAAGTCAGCATATCCTGCTGACAATAAACAAAACACTTCCACTCAGATCACCCCTGAAGAATTGCTATCTTTAGTACGTAAGTTGACCATATTTCAACAATAGGAAAAGGCTTTTTTCCCCCCATCAGGACCGCCAGAAAGTACCTGCCAGACACACAGGTACTTCGTATCTACCACTGTTAGGGCCACTGCAATCCCAGTCACATGGCTAACAAGTAGAAATGCTGAGGTTTGGCCCTAAATTTTATTTAGGGCCATTTTGTTGCCTCATTTATAGTCTTGGATTAAATGTTTGCTCTCAGAAAGCCAAGCCCAGCTCTGTAGTAAGCCCATTTCCAATTAAATGCCATTAGTGGGTAAACTTAACTTAACCACATGGCCTTGCATTTTCCACACTCTGACACTCTAATGAACCACTAACATTTCTTCTCTGCTTCTAAATTCTTCAAAAGTGGCATTGCCACCAAAAAAAAAAAAAGTCAGGAAGTGATTTGTCTTGACCCAGAAATGGATGTATTTTACAATGTCTCTGATTTGATCACAGGGTGTCAGCCTGCCAGCCAATCATAATGGTTAAGTTGCTGGGAAGGAGTTTCTTCATCTCTTTCCCCATTGATGCCAAGCTGCAATACACAAGAGAGGTTAACTCAAAGACGGGTCTATAAACAGACAAGCTGAAACAGTCCAATATTAAATTTTCCTGTTGCTATAGATATCCTGACTCTTGCAGGCAAGCTGTTATCCATCCAGGGAACGTAGGAAAAAAGACACAGAGGCTGCACACGTTTGTCAAAGGACAAATGAGAACAGGAATCAAAGTAAAGAAAGCATCTTTGATAGGTTTATTGGTCCATAACTTTAAATTAATTGAGGTAAAGAAATGTTTTTAAGTTTACAGGCTAATAGTTTATCAAGCAATACAAATTTTTTTTGTTTACCTCCAAATGTAATACTAATCCTGCAGTAAACAAGAAACAGCATCTTTTACACACAGATATGTGAAATAAAAAAACTGGACCAAAACTTCTGCCAGCATCCACAATCCAAGAGAAACCACACTGTGTCTGTTTTACAAACTCTCGCATCCACAACTGCAATAGGGACATTCTTTTTAAAGTCCTGCTCGTTTCATGTAAAAACAAACAAACAAAAACTTCTAGAAAGAACTGGAGAGAAATTACTTTCTCATCAACACGCATTCTCTGAAGCACTTTTGTCTTTCACAGCTTTGTTTTGGCTTTCACGGCGGTGGGGAGAGGTCACACACACGGGACTTTCTCAATACCTTGGAAGGTGATTCCTTTGTAGTCTTTAAGTGAAAAGAATTTTTAAAATGGACACCATCCATAATGTGGACGGGTCCTAAGCGAAAGTCTTTTTAAATATCTTCTTAAACAGTTAAAATCCAAGTTAGAAAGGTTGCTGGCAGTTTATTTTGTGGGAACGTAACAGATGAACATTGTCTCTCAGTGCATTCCCAATTCAGAGATGCAGGGAGCAGGTGCACAGAAATACAAGGAATAGGGCTCTGTCAGATCTATAAGCCCAGAATCTCAGGGGTGTCTGGGTGAATGCTGCTAAATGCTAAGAGCTGCTGGTTTATTATCTGATGAAGGCCCAGGCAAGGCTTTTTTGGACCTCATTTCCTCTCTCTCCATTTCCATGGTGAGGAAGGAGCAATTTCCCTCTCCTCCTTACAGTATCATTTTTGAGAAGTTGCTCTGGACAGTGAGCAAGCCTGTCTAACAGGGCCATGGACAGGTGTTACCTGCTCCCAGCCAGCCCACAGATAACCCAGACTTACCTGGCTTTCAGGAGAGGTGCCTAAGCAATAGTCTTGAGCAGTGGTTTTAACAGTAGAAGCGCTTCTAAAATGGACTCAATTAGGCGAGTCAACATACTACATTTTTGGCATTTCAGCTGTGGAGAATGTCCATCCAAAACACGCTGCACTGAGGTCCCCACAGTACCTTCAAAAGCTGTTCTGTAGAATCAGAGTAAACCCCGGACACTTGTAATCTACAGAGACCTTGGGACCTGCATCATGTAGCAATGGCGAGATCATGCCCTCTACAATCAGAAATATGCCAAAAGGCACAAAATTAATCTTTCAGACAAGGTGTAAAAAAAGGTTTTATGGTCCCTGTGTTTCTGTATGTTATCAAAAGCATCATTTGGCAATAGCAGTGTTGAGTTTTCTCTTCCCAAAAGGCAACCCTCATCATTTCCGGGAGACTGAGGACCGAAGATATTTTTAAGCTAAATGACCTATGAGTTTTCTAAAACTCCTCCTACCCAGAATTTTAAAAACACAAGTTGAAGAATAAGGCATATTATTAGGTGTTGACAAATTCTCATCAAGAGTAGTTAGGCTTTTAACAGTCTGTGGAATTTCTTTTTGTTACAAAATTCTGGGTTTGTTTATTTTTCAAGTAAGTAATATACACCATGTTTCTATATGACACAAATATCTTACTGGTTTTGTTATTTTTTTTTCAAAGCAGTTATTTACAAACCATCTACAGAAGTTAAAAACTACCTGGGTAACATATGTTTTCTGCCACATAGAAAGAGTTAGACAGATATACCGATGATGCACTACAAAAATAAGAAACAACAGTCCACCCTGGTCATTGTTCCCTCCACTTTTCTCACTTTGACAGCCCCGCACATGCTCTAACATGTACAACTAGAGGGAAACCGGGCATCCTTAAAACAAAGCACTGACACCTGATGGGCTAGGTACATGAACAACTGGGATCCTGTGTTAAAAAAAAAAAAAAAGATGAGAACACAACAAGAGCAACACCCCCCCAGCCCAAGATCTAAGTCTGGCCCAGAACGGTGACCGTCCTTTACTGCAGTGTGTAAGTGCCACTGCTTCCGATGAGGGACATGAGAGGGTGTGTCCAGCCCACCCAATGCCATCTGGCTGACTGCTGAAGGCAAGAAGGCAATCCCCAATTCTCAACACATCCTTGTAAAACCGAAACAGTCACAACAATGCTACTCCAGCCATATGATTAGCTTGCTCAAGTCCTACAAGCCCTTAGAGGACGAGGCATTTGGAAGGCAGGGTGGGGCTGGCTGTGTCCCGAGTGCACAACAAGCAGTCCTTTTTCTTCAGGGGGAGATTCCCCTGTAGGGTGGCCGCCAAACCCCTAGCCAGAAAGAAGCCAGTTCCAACCCTGCCTGACATGGAAAGAGCCGAGGCCAACAGAGCCCCAGATATCATTCTGCACCTTGCTCTCCCTGCCTTGGCTGGCTCAGCACAGAACGCAGGGGAGTGCCTCTTCTGCCCTCCCTTGACTGGTGTTGAAACAGGACCGGGTGCTCATGCTTCCAGTTGTATCAATAGCAGGACCATGTTGCACATGCTCATGGACTTCTGGGGCCACTATCCTGAGAGAACCCCCACTGCAGACTGCCATGTGGCCCCATGCTTCCTTCTGGTTACTCCATCATGAAGGGCAGCCTCAAAGAAGTGAGCAGATGTGCATACATGAAGAAAACATCCTCCATACTGCCTCACTCTGGATGAGGCCAAAGGGCGGCACAAGAACATGTTTCATCTTATAGTCACCAGGGTCCCTGGCATCATGCTGGGTTTCTGTGATGTGAGCTGAGGGAAGGTGTCTAGAATTCAGCAAATGGCAAGGTAAAGTCACCTCGACCATCCCACTTTCCCCAGGAATCATTAATTCTTTATGAAGAGTGAAGCGCAACCTGCTGGATGCTGCTCTCGCCTCATTTCAGAGCAGCGGTTCCTTGCTTTGAGCAGAATAGCTCAGAATCTTTCAACAGGTCCACCATATTGACAAAGAAGAGTTATGCCTATACCTACTGCAAGCCACATGTGCTCTCCCCCACATCATATGTAAAACATCTGGTTTTCTTCTCTCCCTTCACCTGGAATTTTTAATCTTGGAGAACAACTTTCACTTTCCAGCCCTACCCCATCTCCACCCTCTGCTGTCCCTCATCGATGCTAGGAGACAGCTTTCCATGTCACTGCCGACAGGGGTTCAAGCCTCAGACCTGTCTATGTCAGCCTGGTGGGGTCCTTGAGAGAAGGTCACATGGGAAATAAATAAAAGAAGCTGGTGGCCTCAGGACTGTGACTATGTGGAGCCAAGAGGCACAGGTGAGGGAAACCTCTGCGAGGCAGTTTTTGGCTCAGAGGTCCATGAGTTCAGCTGCTCCTGAGAAATCTCCTGTGTGCTTGATCAAGACCAAGAGGCAAATGTTGGGGGTTTCTGGGATGGGAATGGTAGGAGGGCCCTGTTCTCTACCTACTGTTCCCGTTCTCCTGGAGCAGCCTCCTCACCTCATCAGACACCACGCTGACAACAGGCAAAGGAGTCCCTGTTGTGGATGGACCATGTCCACAAAGCAAGTCTACAATTCTGAGGGGTTTCCTGGTCCCACCACTAAGAGCATGCCTGCAGGACAAAACACTTGCCTTGTCCCACCTCTTTCTGGAGCCTCAAAGCACAGAAAGATCACCTGGCGACCAGACAGCAGCAGCAGCAAGACCAATTCCCAAGGAGGCTGACTGTTGAGAGCCAGTCTTCTGCCTCTCCTTATGGGAGGCAATGAATACATGTGTGTGACTCTCCCCAGCCATTCCCTTAGCCCAGGAAGGTCTGCCTCTGTCCCGACTAAGCAGCACACATGGTTGTTTCTGGGCTTCAGTGACTAGCAGGTGTCAGAATTTGAAATCCTTGACACTCTTTCTAAGCAGTCATGACACTGGACTAGCATCTTTAAAGCACATATTCTACAACGTAAAGCTTCACGTGTTCCACAGAAAAGCAGTCATTGCTGGGCCATTCTGGCATCTTCCACCAAGTACCAATAAAGGGCTGTCAACTCATTCCCCAGTACATACCCCAGTTCTATCAGCATGTGATCAGGCTGGACCTAGACAGCCAGACCCACACCAACACGATGGTTTAGAGGTAGAATGAGATGTTAAATCACCACTCAGGCGTGGAGGGATTGTTCTTCACCTTCCACTTCAGCAAATCATTTCTAATAGTACCAGACTGGAAATTCACATCAAAGGATTTTTAGCATGGCACGGGTGGGGTGTAATAGTACCGGCAAGTATCAATGGGTATAAAAATTATCACTGGAACGTTGACTTTGTCAAACATGGCAAACAGTTCCCTGCTGTCCAAGACGGGCCCTGACAACATCACAGCTGCAGCTGACGTAAGGTCAACTCTATAGCTGGAAGTGGGATGAAGCAATTTCACCATGCTGCGTTGATGGGTATCTGCAGGTTAACTTGTCTATGAAGTGGTGCCTTACCTCAGCTGTTTCATTAAAAACAACTAACCACTACCATTTGTTGGAGACTCAGGTTGATAGTTCTACAGGGATGAAACTCAGATGGAAGAACACAAATGGACACATGTAGCCTCATATCAGTAGAGGGGGAAAGACTGAGTTGGCAGATAGCTCTTGTTTGATGGTCTTGTGTTGATTCTGAAAAGAGTAAACTTGGCAATTGAGACGGAGACTTTCAACACAGCTAGCAGTCCTTGGGAATTCAGCTACAAACCACAGAGAGTTAAAAGCTTAGCTAGAAGCAAAAAGTTTACCAACATTTTTATCTGTGAGGCTCATCTAGACACTGATGTTCCCTCCTCAGTTGGAAATGTTAAGGGTTAAAGCACTTGACATAGGACATTCGCAGGGAGTTTACAGATTTCAACACTTGATGCGCCAACTCCCTCATCAAAAGGTTGCCTCAACACATTCAGTGGACATGGTAGGAAATAAGCCGGGCATTTCTGGTGAGGTAAAAGGCAAATTGCACAAAGCAGACATGGAGGTGAGGCTTGTTATCTTCCCACTGATGTCAACAGGGGAGGGGCTACTGTGACTTCATGACAACAGACGTTCCCTAACAGGTGCATTCCCTGTTCTGTTGACAACTGACAAACATAAGGAAAAACAAAACAAAAACGATGAAGACCTTCCTGGAGAAAATGCACCATTTTCTTTTTCACTTTATACACAATGAAGAGTTGCTCATCTATGGCATTGTGGTGTCAGAATCAAGCTACCACAGCATTCACCTGAGCTTCCCGAGGCACCACACAGGACAAGGACACTGGCTTGCTTGCTCAAGCATGGCTGCAGGTGGACACACTGATGCCGACAGTCCTGTGTCAAGCAGAAGGAACCAAACAGCTGGCACTGAGCACTCGGTACAGGCAGGCAGCAGATCACACTCAACAGCTACAGGCCACAGGATGTTTCAGGACTCGCCACAGAGGTGTCAACACCCGTTTCTATGCTGAGGCCAGTCGAGGTCAACTTCAGGGCCGCTACGTGTGAACAGAAAGCAACAGCTTCCTCATGTTCATGCCTCCGTCCAGTCCTGGAAAAGCAGGGCCCAGACTGTCCCCCTTAGTGGGCCACTCGGCTGTCCCCAAATGGGACATCGTCATGAGATATGGGACTCCCCGTCGCAGGCCATGGCGTCCCTCGGTTCCAGGTCTCTGTAGTGTTCTGTCTCCTTGGTTCCTTCACAGCATGGAGGTATGCTGCTTCTGCTGAGATGTGTGGTGGTCTTAGACCCCACCAGGGAATAAATACAAATTGAAAACAACTGTGGGGTTGGGGGGGGTGGGGAGAAGAACACAAGGGAGAGAGGTTTCTGTGGTTGCTTGCCGACGCCGCCTCTCTGGCACTGTGGGGACATTCCAGCCTGGGGTGCCGCGTCCTGTGTGGGTAGCTGAGTCTCTGTCCCCACAAGGTGCTCACTTGGCCTCCTGCTTCTCCTGCAGCAGTGGAATGATCGACTCCCACGCCATGAGGCACTGAAACAACAACATAAGCACACAGAATCAGCACTGTGTGCAAGGTCTCGGGGTCAAATGCCTGGCTCCTGCCTGCCATTTCCACTGTCAATCCTGTTTGCTCACTTGGACCAATAGCACCTGTGGGTCCCACCCCTGCTTATGGCTTGGGAAACCATGGAGGATGGTCCAAGTCCTTGGAACCCCGCACCCGCATGGGAGGCCTGGAGGAAGCTCCTGGTCCTGGCTTTGTATCGGCTCAGCTCTAACTGTTGCAGCATTTGGGGAGTGAATCAGAGGATGGAGGATCTTTTCCACTCTGTCTCCTTCTCTCTGTACATCTGCTTTTTCAATAAAAGTAAGTAAACCTTAAAAAAAAATTGTTCCAGGACACACTGCCATGAAGGGCCAAGACCTTGGAATCCTCTGGCACCATCCTTGTATGAGCACCAGCTTGGCAGAAATGATTCTCCTCAGAGCAACGAGAGGAGGGTGGGAGGCCTTGCTCAGAAAGAGCTGAGGTGGGGCAGGGGCAGGGGAACTTTGTGCAAGGCATTCTGGGAAGCATTCTAAGAAGCAGAAAGGGACAGCCAGGAAACAGGAGCCAGAACTGACATCCTAGCTGCTGTATCAAGCATCTGTCCCTAAAACTGTTTTTCATTCAACTGCTTTGCTTTATTTTAGGTATTTAAGACAGCATTATTATTACTTTTTTCCTTTGGTTTCTTTGTTCTTAATTTTTTTTTCTTTTCTTTCTTTTCCAGGACCAGCATTATTTTAAAGTCCATTTTACAAAGACAGTCTCTTTGATGAGGAGCCTATAGGCTTTACTGACTTAGCCCAGTGGAAGAGAAGAACCCACAACACGCAGAACCACAGCAGCATGAAGCAGCCTGAAAGCACTTGTGAGCTGGCCGCATCTGTGCCTTCCAGACTTCGCAGAAGCAAAGCAGCAGCCGTAGCTAGCACGGGTAGGGTGAGAAAGAAAATGCAGTGAGCACAGCGGGCCAGTCATATGTCCGGGAGCCGAGATGAAGCAGGCAAAGCAAGGAGCTGAGACCAGGATTCCTGTTTCTAGGTTCTGGTAAGCCCTTAATGAAGACTCTATTAGAAACAGCAGTCCTGGGGTCAGTGTTTGGCATGGCAGGTTAAGCCAATGCCTGCGATGCTGGCATCCCATATAGATGCTAGTTCAAGTCCTGGCTGCTCCACTTTCAACTACTTCCCTGCTACTGTATATGGAAAAACAGTGGAAGATGGCCCAAGTACTCGGGTTCCTACGCCCACCTGGGGGACCTGGATGGCCTCCCAGGTTTGTGGCTTTGGCCTGGGCCAGTTTGAGCCATTGGAGGTACTTGGGAAGTGAACCAGCAGATGGATGATCTCTGTTTATGTCTTTCTCTCTAACTCTGTCTTTCAAATAAATAGATCTTAAGAACAAACAAATTAAAAAAAAAAACAGCTGCACTCTTGCCAGGCATATTCATTACCTTCTCATAATATTGGATGTTCTTGTCAGCCATCCCCATGAGCAGCTGCCGGAAGTCCTGCCTCTTGTTGTTCTGCCACCTCTCCATGTCGGCCTTCAGGTCAGCATTGAAGCACTCCATCCGGTCCTGACACTTCTCCACATCAGCTGGTACCTGGAAGAGGGAGTCACATGGGAGCGCTGCATGCAGGTAACTAGAATCTCCTGCCTCCAGTGTCTCTGTTTGCAGGTTTTCCTGGGTCAGGTGGACCATCCTATCATGTGGATAGCCTGAAGAGCTTTCCTTTATAAATCAGACTTTAACTGCAGTGAGATTGGATCAGCTTTCTCCTCTGATCCCTACCTTACGAGTAAAACAGAGATGTGACTATGCTCCTCTAGGCAGCAGCTAACCAAAACGCACAGTTGGACAGGTCTGAGAAATAATGATGAAATGTATTTGTGTATCAAAAGAAATCTGGTGTATAAAGAAGAAAAATGCAGCAGGCTATTTCAGGTTTTTCTGAAAGAGGTCTGGAAGACATTCACTCAAAGGTGAAAACACTTCAATTTCACAGCTTGCACTTGGCTTCAGTGAGTCCTCCATCCTGCACAGCTAAGGAGGCTTTTTGTGGCCACAGGAATTCCCAATGCAGAAAGTCACTCAAGTGCTCCTCTTGGCCCCTGTCAGGGAGCAGAGGGGATCCACAAGGCCAAATCTGGGACAAACATCCTGGAGCCAAACACTTTGCAACAGCAGGCGAGACCTTGCATGTTCCTAGTGTGTGACCATGAACCCAAACGTCTCCAAGCAGCATGGGTCAATCCTTTGCAACCAGGGAAACTTGCACACTCTGGCCTTATGGCCAAGGCACTGACTAGAAGGACAGCAACGCAGTAAGGCCAGACCTGAGGCTCCCGAGCATCCTCAGGGCACCTATCTGCCACAGGAGACAGCAGAGCAACACATGAGAATGGGAAGTGGCTCAGCCTAGGCACCGGGGTACACATGTGCCTGACATGAAGCACTAAATTTGGGTAAGACAAGGTGAAGTTGGTGACAAAGACAGCCTCAGAGATCCTGAGCAACTAAGAGAACCTTTGAGATAAGCATCTGGTACCACAGTTAAGACATCCCTGGGATTTCTGCATCTCACCGGGGAGGGCCTGGGTTTCAAATCCCAGTGCTGTTTCTGATTCCTGCTAATGTGTACTCCAGAAGGCAGCAGATGATAATTCAACTAACTGGGTCCCTGCTATTCACATGGAAGACTCAGGCTCCCCACTGGCTGGTGTGGCCACTGGGAGACTGGACTGACAGATGCAACAGCTTTTTATGTACATCAAATAAAGTGAAAATAAATACATATATTGTAAATAAAATAAAGAAAAGGAGAAAAGGAGAGACCAAGAGACTGTCCATCCACTGTTTCACTCTTCTGATGGCCCAACAGCCTTTGCTGAGCTGATCTGAAGTCAGAATCAAGAGCTTGCTCTGAGCCTCCCATCTGGGGGCAGGGTCCCAAGAACTTGGGTCATTCTCCACTGCTTTCCCAGGCCAAAAGCAGGCAGCTGGATGAGAAGTGGAGCAGCCAGGACATGAACCAGTGCCCATATGGGATGCTAGTACTTGCAGATGGAGGTCTAGCTAGTTGGGTCACTCTGTTCCAACTAAGGGAACTTGTGAGAAGAGATGGGATGACTCCTCAAAGCAGTTAAGCTTCTGGGAGGAAAACCAAGCTAACCTCTCCCCTCGACGTGAGGCCTCGAACTACTTTTGCCTTTCACTGCTGATTCACCAACTGCTTTCCCCTCATTCCTTCTCTGGCCTCTGCTCATGTCAGCATCTGGGGGAAAGTGGCCAGCTAGCCACTTCCTGTTTGCATAACAAGGCCTCTGCTGCACACAGGAAAGCCAGGGTCTGGAAAAAAAACCTCACTGGTACAGGGAGGAGAGGCAGATGGTGTCTCTTATTCCAAGGATTCCTTATCAAGGAAGGAGTCTGGGGTTCCTCCTCTGGAGACAAGCCTTTCAGTTGACCCACAGAAACTCAGAGTCAAAACCACAGCTCTGAGCTACATGCCTGACTTCCTGAGCCCAAAACACAACAGATTCTGAGCCCGGCTCTGGGAGTTCTCAGATCTTGACAAGCAAATCTCATCTGCAGGTGCCCATGGTCCAATTGGGACCTGGATATGGAGTCGTAAGATGTCTTGGTGTTGTCCCTCCACCCTGAGGCCTGTGCTTCTCACACTGAGGAGTGGGCAAGGATAGCTGAGCCTGGGGAAGGACAGGATCCGGAGAAAAGAGTACAGAGACCACCATGATGGCAGCAGTATGACAGGTGACGGAAGAGAGGGCCCCCTACAGCCACAGCACATGATAACAACCTAAGGGAGAAGACGCTGGGTCCATGGGGGCAGCAGCTCACAGACCAGGGCACAGGTCCCCAGGGGCTATTCAGGACACTCCAGCTGGTGAAGACTGGGGCAGGAGTAGAGGATGAGAAGCCTAGAACTGTCCTGAAATCTAGGGTTTCTTTTTTTTTTTTTAAGATTTATTTTTTATTATTTTTTCATTGGAAAGGTGGATATACAGAGAGGAGAGACAGAGAGGAAGATCTTCCATCCGATGATTCACTCCCCAAGTGAGCGCAATGGTCAATGCTATGCCGATCCGAAGCCAGGAGCCTCTTCCGGGTCTCCCACGCGGGTGCAGGGTCCCAAAGCCTTGGGCCGTCCTCGACTGCTTTCCCGGGCCACAGGCAGGGAGCTGAAAGGGAAGTGGGGCTGCCAGGATAGAACCAGCGCCCATATGGGATCCCGGGCGTGCAAGGCAAGGACCTTAACCACTGCACCACTGCACTGGGCCCGAAATCTAGGGTTTCTAAACAACGTTTACTTCTTGCCCCTCCTTTATTTAAAAAAAAAAAAAAAACACGCCTTGTGCTGCCTCTAGCTGCAGCAGACACTGCAATATCACAAATCTGCAATGCTATGTACTCCACGTGTGACAGAGAGCCACTCCAGGCCTCAGCCGTTTCAGGATAACACTATTGTCCACACTGTAACACTGCTATCAGGTATAAGACACTTAGGGCCTGGCATATACACAAACACTTCAAAAAGTTCATAAAAATAAGAGCTTGGAAATTTGGTGAAGGGGTGGGAGTATGGCCCAGCAGGTGGGACGTCCATCAGAGCATCAGCTCTAGTCCCTGACCTGCTCCCCATTCCGGCTTCTGGCTAATGAGCACCTTGCAGGTGGAGCAGTAAGTGATGGCTCAAGCAGTTGAGTTCTGCCACCTATGCAGGCAGGTGACCTGAGTTTTGGGTTCTCGGCTTCCCTCTGGCCCCCCGACTATCACAGGCACTGGAGGAGGAAACCAGAATTTGGGAAGCTTCTGTTACTCTGTCTCTGCCTTTCAAATGTATTTTGAAAAGAAAAGTTAGGCACAAAACCTTCTAAAATTCAGGCAGACAAGGCAAATTTCATAGAAATGTATACTGTGAAGAAATTGCATGAATTTCAAGCTTTTAAAAACAAAACAAACCTATCATTTAATTTCATTGTCCACAATTTTTTTTTTGCTCAATGTTCATTAGCTCAGTATTGTAAATGGCTGTTCACGAAATAATCATCGATCATTTTTACAGCCTCTCAAGAATATTCTGTCGACCTATACCTCAACAACAATAGCAAAACTTTTCTTTTAAAGATATTAATTTGAAAGGCAGAATTGCAGAGAGAGGGGGAGAGATACAAAGAGAGAGAAAGCGAACATTTACTGGTCTACTCCTCAAATGGCTACACTGGCTAGGATAGAGCCCAGCCCAAACCAGGAGCCTCCAGGTCTCCCACATGGAGAACAGGGGCTCAAGCATTTAGGTCATCCTCAGTCATCTTCCCAGGTGCAACAATAGACTAGTACCAAAAGCACAGCACCCAAGACTTGAATTGGTATTCATATGGGATGCTGGCATTCCGGCAGCAGCTTAACCTACTGGACCATAGTATCAGCCTCTAAAAATGACTTTCAGTTTCAAAATATCAAGTATTATATGCATATCATTAAATACTTTCAAATTTTATGCCTCTTTGGCCCTTGCTACTCCACCTCAAGATCTTGCCAATTACACAAACTATGTGTTGGTATGAGATTGCACTGGGCACCCTAGGACCAGGAGGGTAGCCTTAACACCAGAAGGGAGAGGATAGAAAACCTGTAATGAGGACAGAACTGACATCTCTGGCGATCAACTCCCCATGAGAAAGAAGACACAGAAAGACAGGAAGCATGTTTCTAATGTGGCAGACGAGGGTAGCAACCAAACAACCAAGGGCTCCAAAGGCCAGGACCACAGACCCCGCAGAGCAGGTGGCCACAGCCGTGGAAACAGATGTTTCTCCAAAGCTGACTCACAAATGAGCAACAAGGACATGAAAAGATGCTCAGCCTCTCTGATCATTACGGAACTGCAGATCAACACAATGCTGAGATGCTCCCTCACACCCACTAAGATGGTCATTGGCAGAAAGCCAGGAGGTACACGTTGGAGAGAGTGGGAAAAATGGAGCCCTTGTGCACTGCTGGTGGAAATGAAGAATGGCACAGCTGCAGCAGACACTGCCGAGTGGTTAAGACATTGCTTGGGAAACTCGCATCCCACACCAGAATGCCTGGGTTTTAGTTCCGGCTCTTCCCTCAATCTCAGCTTCCTGCTAATGTGTACCCAGAGGAGCAGCAGATGGTGGTTTAAGTACTCAGGTCCCTGTCCCCTACATGGGAGACCCGATTCCAGCTGTTGTAGGGGACTGAACCAGCAGATAGGAGAGTTCTCCATCTCTGTCCCTTTTCAATATAATAAATAAATAATGGTACAGCTTCTGCAGAAAACAAAAATGCAGGTTCCTCCAGAACCTAAAAATGGAAACACCCTACCATCCTGCAGGATTTCATGTTCAAGGCAGCCTTATTCACAGCAGCCAAAAAAGGAAGAAATCTTAACACCTGCCTCTGGAAAAATGTACAAGCCATTCTGGGTTCTACACTCAGCCTGAAAAAGTAAGGCGGTTCTGACATGCACTACAGCCTGGAGGAGCCTTGAGGAAAGGAACCCGTTATAAAGGGGCAAGCCCACTTACACGACGTGCGTACAGTGGTCAGATTCACAG